GGGCGTGGCCATTTTGGGGTGTGGTCATTGAGGAGGGCGTGGCTAATTTGGGGTGTGGTGATTGGGGTAGGTGTGACCAATTTTATGGGCGTGGCCTATTGGGTTTTGTAATTTGAGTGGGTGTGGCCATTTTAAATGGGCGTGGCCAATGTGGGGTGCGGTCATTGGATGGGTGTGGTCAATTTTATGGGTGTGGCCTTTGGGGGTGTGGCCATTTTGATGGGTGTGGCCATTTTGCGGTGTGGTCATTGAGGAGGGTGTGGCTAATTTGGGGTGTGGTCATTGAGGAGGGTGAGGCCAATTTTATGGGCGTGGTCTATTGGGGTGTGGCCATTTTGATGAGTGCAGCCATTTTGGGTTTGGTCATTGAGGTGGGTGTGGCCAATTCAGGTTTTGTGATTTGAGTGGGTGTGGCCATTTTAATGGGCGTGGCCTTTGGGAGTGTGGCCATTTTGATGGGTGCGGCCATTTTGGGGTGTGGTCATTGAGGAGGGCGTGGCAATGTTGGGGTGTGGTCATTGGGGTGGGTGTGGTCAATTTGGGTTTTGTAATTTGAGTGGGTGTGGCCATTTTTAATGGGCGTGGCCAATGTGGGGTGTGGTCATTGGGATGGTGTGGTCAATTTTATGGGTGTGGCCTTTGGGGGTGTGGCCATTTTGATGGGTGCGGCCATTTTGCGGTGAGGTCATTGAGGAGGGCGTGGCTATGTTGGGATGTGGTCATTGGGGTGGGCGTGGCCAATTTTATGGGCGTGGTCTATTGCGGTGTGGTCATTTGGGTGGGTGTGGTCAATTTGGGTTTTGTAATTTGAGTGGGTGTGGCCATTTTTAATGGGCGTGGCCAATGTGGGGTGTGGTCATTGGGATGGGTGTGGTCAATTTTATGGGTGTGGCCTTTGGGGGTGTGGCCATTTTGATGGGTGCGGCCATTTTGCGGTGAGGTCATTGAGGAGGGGTGTGGCTAATTTGGGGTGTGGTCATTGGGGTGGGTGTGGCCAATTTTATGGGCGTGGTCTATTGGGGTGTGGCCATTTGGATGAGTGCGGCCAATTTTGGGGTTTGGCCATTGGGTTGGGCGTGGCCATTTTATGGGCGTGGCCTATTGAGTGTAGTCATTGAGGTGGGTGTGGCCAATTTGGGTTTTGTTATTTGAGTGGGTGTGGCCATTTTAATGGGCGTGTCCTTTGGGAGTGTGGCCATTTTGATGGGTGCAGCCATTTGGGGTGTGGTCATTGGGGTGGGCGTGGCCAATTTATGGGTGGTGGTCTATTGGGGTGTGGTCATTGGCGTGGGTGTGGTCAATTTGGGCTTTGTGATTTTAGTGGTTGTGGCCATTTTAATGGGCGTGGTCAATTTGGGGTGTGGTCATGACCAATTTTATGGGCGTGGTCTATTGGGGTGTGGCCATTTTGATGAGTGCGGCCATTTTGGGGTTTGGTCATTGGGTTGGGCGTGGCTATGTTGGAGTGTGGTCATTGGGGGTGTGGTCATTGGAGTGGGTGTGGCCAATTTTATGGGCGTGGTCCCATGGGTTGTGGTCAATTGGGTGGGTGTGGCCAATTTTATGGGCGTGGTCCTTTGGGGTGTGGTCATTGTGTGGGTGTGGCCAATTTTATGGGCGTGGTCCTTTGGGGTCTCTTCATTTGGGTGGGTGTGGCCAATTTTAAGGGCATTGTCCATTGGGGTGTGGTCATTGTGTGGGTGTGGCCATTTTGATGGGCGTGGTCCATTTGGGTGTGGTCTATTGGGGTGTCATCATTGGTGTGGGCGTGGCCATTTTGATGGGTGTGGTCAATGCCTGGGTGCGGCCATCATAGTGGGCGTGGCCAATCAGTTGAGAGCCGCCATTTCCCTGGCCGTGGCCACGCCCCCACCAAACCCCCTCATTTCTCCTCCCCCTCCATTCTCCCCCCCAAAACCCCGCCCCCTTTTCACCTACCCACGACCACCACGGCCACGCCTTCACTGGGCGGAGCCTCCACCCAGGCCCCGCCCACCTCCTCCTCCAGCCGGCAGCTGAAATTCCCGGAAAACCCGGCCGGGATCTCCGGGAACACCAACCGGGAGCCGTCCTCGATGACATCATCAGTGACCTCATCAATGACGTCATCAGTGACGTCATCAGGTGTCAGCTCGGCGCCGTCGCGGAAGAAGCGGAAGCGGCGCCGGAAGCGGCGCCGGGGGGCGGAGCAAGTGAGGCGGAGCCTCTGGCCCGCGGCGACCACGCCCGACGCAGGCTCCGCCCACAGCACGGGCGGCGGACACGGCTCTGGGGGAAACAAAAATAATTTGGGGTAAAAAGCAGCGGAATCGGTGAATTTATAATTTTGGGGTGGAAAAAGGGCAGAAATGGCCCAAAAATTCAAATTTTTAATGGGTAAAAAAAGGGTAAAAATCGACCCCGAAATTCAACGTTTTGGAGGAAGAAAAGCCTCAAAATAGCCCCAAAAATTCGATTTTTTTTTTGGAGGTGGGGATGGAGAAGATGAAATTCCCCAAAAATTTGGAGAGTTGGAGAAGTTGAAAAAACGAAATTGAGAGGGAAAAACAAAAAAAAAGGAAAAAAGGGAGAAATTAAAAAAAATTGGAGTTGAAAAAATGGAAAATTTGGAGAATTTGGGAGAAATGGAGTTGGAGGTTTTTCCCAAAAATGGTGAATTTTTTTTCCCAAATTTTTCCCCAAAATCCTGATTTTTTTCCCCAAAATTCTGATTTTTTTTCAATGGAAGAGGTCCCACCATGGCCCTGGTTGTGTTGGACTTGGATTGGGTCAAAAAAGCCAAAAATTGGCCAAAAAAATTCAATTTTTTGAGGTGGGAATGGAGAAGATGGAGAAGATGGAGAAGAACCTCCCAAATTTTTCCCAAAATCCGGATTTTTTTTCCCCAAAATTCTGACTTTTTTTGGTCTAAGGAGGTCCCACCATGACCTTGGTTGGGTTTGGCTGAGATTGGGTCAAAAAAGCCAAAAATTGGCCCAAAAATTCCATTTTTTTTTTGAGGTGAAAATGAAGAAAATGGAGAGAAATGTCCCCAAATTTTTCCCCAAATCCTGATTTTTTTCCCCAAAATTTTGACTTTTTTTGGATGGAAGAGGCTCCACCATGGCCCCGCTTGGATTGGGTCAAAAAAGGCCAAAAATGGCCCAAAAATTCCATTTTTTTTGAGGTGAAAATGAAGAAAATTGAGAGAAATGTCCCCAAATTTTTCCCAAAATCCTGATTTTTTTCCCCAAAATTCTGATTTTTTTTTGGTCTAAGGAGGTCCCACCATGATCTTGGTTGGGTTGGATTTGGATTGGGTCAAAAAAGCCAAAAAATGGCCCAAAAAATTCAATTTTTTTTGAGGTGAAAATGAAGGAAATTGAGAGAAATGTCCCCAAATTTTTCCCAAAATCCGGATTTTTTTCCCCAAAATTCTGATTTTTTTAGGATGGAAGAGGTCCCACCATGACCTTGGTTGGGTTGGGCTTGGATTGGGTCAAAAAAGCCAAAAATTGGCCCAAAAATTCCATTTTTTTTTTGGAGGTGAAAATGAAGAAAATTGAGAGAAATGTCCCCAAATTTTTCCCCAAATCCGGATTTTTTTCCCCAAAATTCTGACTTTTTTTGGTCTAAGGATGTCCCACCATGACCTTGGTTGGGTTGGACTTGGATTGGGTCAAAAAAGCCAAAAATTGGCCCAAAAAATTCAATTTTTTGGAGGTGAAAATGAAGAAAATTGAGAGAAATGTCCCCAAATTTTTCCCAAAATCCGGATTTTTTTACCCAAAATTCTGACATTTTTTGGATGGAAGAGGTCCCACCATGACCCTGGTTGTGTTGGACTTGGATTGGGTCAAAAAAGCCAAAAATTGGCCCAAAAAATTCAATTTTTTGATGGTGGGAATGGAGAAGATGGAGAAGAACCTCCCAAATTTTTCCCAAAATCCGGATTTTTTCCCCAAAATTCTGACTTTTTTTGGTCTAAGGATGTCCCACCATGACCCTGCTTGGGTTGGGCTGAGATTGGGTCAAAAAAGCCAAAAAATGGCCAAAAAAATTCAATTTTTTTTTGAGGTGAAAATGAAAAAAATTGAGAGAAATGTCCCCAAATTTTTCCCAAAATCTGGATTTTTTACCCAAAATTCTGACTTTTTTTGGTCTAAGGATGTCCCACCATGACCTTGGTTGGGTTTGGCTGGGATTGGGTCAAAAAAGCCAAAAATTGGCCCAAAAAATTCAATTTTTTTTGAGGTGAAAATGAAGAAAATTGAGAGAAATGTCCCCAAATTTTTCCCAAAATCCTGATTTTTTTACCCAAAATTTTGACATTTTTTGGTCTAAGGATGTCCCACCATGACCTTGGTTGGGTTTGGCTGAGATTGGGTCAAAAAAGCCAAAAATTGGCCAAAAAAATTCAATTTTTGGAGGTGGGAATGGAGAAGATGGAGAAGATGGAGAAGAACCTCCCAAATTTTCCCAGATTTTGGATTTTTTGGTTATTTCAGGAATTTGGGGGAGATCCCGGGGTTGGGATTGGGCCAAAAAAGCCAAAAAGTGGCTCCTGGAAATTTCGATATTTTGGGGAAAATGGGGAAAAAAACCAAACGGAAATGGGGAATTTTGGGTGTTCGGGAGGAGATTTGGGGTCGGGATGGGACCAAACTCAACCCAAGGCAACCAAACCCAACCAAACCAAACCCAACCATGGCCCAACCCAAACATGACCCAACACAACCATGACCCAACCAAACCAAACCCAACCCAACCAAACCCAACCCAACTAAACCCAACTCTAACTCAACCCAACCATCATCCAACCCAACCAAACCCAACCCAATACTAACTCAACCCAACCAAACACAACCCAACCCAACCCAACCATGACCCAACACAACCAAACCCAACCCAAACCAAACCAAACCCGACCCAACCCAACTCTAACTCAACCCAACCCAACCATGACCCAACCCAAACATGACCCAACCCAATCCAACTCTAACTCAACCCAACCCAACCCAAAGCCAACCAAACCAAACCCAACCCAACCATGACCCAACCAAACCCAACCCAACCCAACCCAACCAAACCCAACCCAACCCAACCATGACCTGACCCAACCCAATCCAACCATGACCAATCCAAACCCAACCCAACCATGACCCGACCCAACCCAACCATGACCCAACCCAACCATGACCCAACCAAACCCAACCCAACCATGACCCAACCAAACTCAACCCAAGCCAACCCAACCCTAACTCAACCCAACCCAAACCCAACCCAACCCAACCATGACCCAACCATGACCCCAACCATGACCCAACCCAACCCAACCCAACCATGACCAAACCCAACCAAACCCAACTCAACCAAGGCCCAACCAAACCCAACCCAATCCAAACATGACCCAACCCAACTCTAACTCAACCCAACCCAAGCCAAACCCAACCCAAACCCAACCATGACCAAACCCAACCCAACCCAACCAAACCCTAACTCAACCCAACCCAACCATGACCCAACCCAACCCAACCAAACCGAACTTTGGTCCAACCCAACCCAAGCATGACCCAACACAACCAAACCCAACTCAAACCAAACCCAATGCAACCCAAACCAAACCCAACCCAACTCTAACTCAACCCAACCATGACCCAACCATGACCCAACTCAACCCAACCCAACCCAACCCAACCATGACCCAACCAAACTCAACCCAACCCAACCCAACCCAACTCAACCAAACCCAACCAAACTCAACCAAACTCAACCCAACCCAACCATGACCCATCCATGACCCAACTAAATCCAATCACATCCATCCAAGCCCAACCAAACCCAACCCAACCATGACCCAACCCAACCCAACCATGGCCAATGCAAACCCAACCACACCCAACCACACCCAACCAAACCCAACCAAACCGAACTTTGGTCCAACCCAACCCAAACCCAACCCAAACCCAACCCAATCTTGGCCCAACCAAACCCAACCATGACCCAACCCAACCCAACCATGACCCAACCCAACCCAACCATGGCCCAACCCAAACCAACTCAACCAAGGCCCAACCAAACCCAACCAAACCCAACCCAACCATGACCCAACCATGACCCAACCATGACCCAACCCAATCCAAACACGACTCCAACCCAACTCTAACTCAACCCAATCCTAACTCAACCCAACCCAACCATGACCCAACCCAAACCCAACCCAACCCAACCCAACCAAAGCATGACCAAACCCAACCCAACCCAACCCTAACCCAACCAAACCCAACCAAACCCAACCTGACCAAACCCAACCCAACCAAACCCAACCAAACCCAACCTGACCAAACCCAACCCAACCAAACCCAACCAAACCCAACCTGACCAAACCCAACCCAACCATGACCCAAACCCAACCCAACCAAACCCAACCCAACCAAACCCAACCCAACCAAACCGAACTTTGGTCCAACCCAACCCAACCAAACCCAACCATGACCCAACCATGACCCAACCCAACCCAACCCAACCCAACCAAACCCAACCTTGACTCAACCAAACCCAACCAAACCCAACCATGACCAAACCCAACCCAACCCAACCCAACCCAACCATGACCCAACCCAACCAAACCCAACCAAACCCAACCCAACCCAACCTTGACCCAACCAAACCAAACCCAACCCAACCCAAACAAACCCAACCAAACCCAACCAAACCCAACCAAACCGAACTTTGGTCCAACCCAACCCAACCATGACCCAACCCAACCCAAACCCAACCCAACCCAACCCAATCTTGGCCCAACCAAACCCAACCAACCATGACCCAACCAAACCCAACCATGGCCCAACCCAAACCAACTCAACCATGGCCAATCCAAACCCAACCACACCCAACCCAACCCAACCCAACCCAACCCAAACCCAATCTTGGCCCAACCAAACCCAACCCAACCATGACCCAACCATGACCCAACCCAATCCAAACATGACCCAACCCAACTCTAACTCAACCCAATCCTAACTCAACCCAACCAAACCCAACCAAACCCAACCCAACCATGACCCAACCAAACCAAACCAAACCCAACCTTGGCCCAACCCAACCCAACCAACTAAGGTTCAACCAAACCAAACTACACCCAACCAAACCCAATCATGACCCAACCATGACCCAACCATGACCCAACCCAACCATGACCCAACCCAACCCAACCAAACCCAACCCAACCATGACCCAACCCAACCCAACCCAACTCAACCAAGGCCCAACCAAACCCAACCCAACTCTAACTCAACCCAACCAAACCCAACCCAACCATGACCCAACCCAAACCCGACCAAACCCAAACCCAACCATGACCCAACCCAACCCTAACTCAACTCTACCAAACCCAACCCAACCCCACCCAACCAAAGCATGACCAAATCCAACCCAACCCAACCCAAACCTAACCCAACCCAACCAAACCCAACCATGACCCAACCCAACCCAACCAGACCCAACCCAACCATGACCCAACCCAACCATGACCCAACCCAACCCAACCATGACCCAACCATGACCCAACCCAATCCCGACCAAACCCAACCATGACCCAAACCAACCATGACCCAACCATGACCCAACCCAACCCAACCCAACCCAACCATGACCAAACCAAACCCCACCAAACCAAATGAAACTCCACCAAACTCAACCTAGGCCAAACCAAACCCAACCATGACCCAACCCAACCACACCCAACCCGACCATGACCCAACCCAACCCAACCACACCCAACCCAACTCAACAATGTCCAAGCATGGCCCAACCCAACCCAACCAAACCCAACCATGACCCAACCAAGGCTCATCCAAACCCAACCATGACCCAACCAAACCCAACCACACCCAACTGAACTCAACCACATCCAACCTTGGCCCAACTAAACCCAACCAACCCAACCCAACCACAGGTCACCCACACCCAACCAAACCCAACCTTGGTCCAACCATGACCCAACCCAACCCCACCCAACTAAACCCAACCCCACCATGACCCAACCCAACCAAACCCAACCATGACCCAACCCAACCAAACCCAACCATGACCCAACCCAACCAAACCCAACCCAACCAAACCCAACCATGACCAAACCCAACCAAACCCAACCCAACCAAACCCAACCCAACTAAACCCAACTCTAACTCAACCCAACCATCACCCAACCCAACCAAACCCAACCCAATCCTAACTCAACCCAACCAAACCCAACCAAACCCAACCCAACCCAACCATGACCCAACCCAACCCAACCCAACCATGACCCAACCCAAACATGACCCAACCCAATCCAACTCTAACTCAACCCAACCCAACCCAAAGCCAACCAAACCAAACCCAACCCAATCCTAACTCAACCCAACCAAACCCAACCCAACCATGACCCAACCAAACCCAACCATGTCCAACCATGACCCAACCCAACCATGACCAATCCAAACCCAACCACACTCAACCAAACCCAACCCAACCATGACCCAACCCAACCCAAACCCAACCAAACCCAACCCCACCCAACCATGACCAAACCCAACCCAACCCAACCCAACCCAACCCAACCATGACCCGACCAAACCCAACCCAACCCAACCATGACCCAACCCCACCCAACTCAACCCAACCCAACCAAACCCAACCATGACCCAACCCAACCCAACCCAACCACACCGAACTTTAGTCCAACCCAACCCAACCAAACCCAACCATGACCCAACCCAACCCAACCATGACCCAACCAAACCCAACCCAACCAAACCCAACCCAACCAAACCCAAACCCAACCCAACCCAACCCAATCTTGACCCAACCAAACCCAACCAACCAAGGCCCAACCAAACCCTAACTCAACCCAACCCAACCAAACCCAACCCCACCCAACCATGACCCAACCCAACCCCACCCATCCAAAGCATGACCAAACCCAACCCAACCCAACCCTAACTCAACCCAACCCTAACTCAACCAAACCCAACCCAACCTAACCCAACCAAACCCAACCCAACCAAACCCAACCTGACCAAACCTAACCCAACCATGACCCAACCCAACCATGACCAAACCCAACCCAACCCAACCAAACCCAACCAAACCCAACCCAACCATGACCCGACCAAACCCAACCAAACCCAACCCAACCATGACCCAACCCAACCCAACCATGACCCAACCAACTTTGCCCCTCCCACCTCCCCATCCCCTCAACCATCCCCAAACCCCTCCCCGTGCCCCAAAACCCGCCCGTTTCCCCCCAAAAATCACCTTCCACCACCACCGGCACGGCCTCGCTGGGGTAGGAGGCCACCCAGCGCCCCTCGGCCATCTCCTTGTAGCTGCAGCTGAAGTTCCCGGTCTGGTTCCGGCCGCTCCTCTCCACCCTCAGCCGGGCGCTTCCGGAACCTTCCGCCACGCCCCCGGAGACCTCGAGCTCCTCCCGCAGGAAGCGGAAGCGGCGCCGGGGGGCGGGGCCGGGCGGGGCGGCGCAGAGGAAGAGGAGGGGCTGCCCTTGGACGGTGCGGCCCGAGGGCGTCACCGTCAGGTTGGGTTGGGTTGGGCGGTCTGGCGGGAACGGGGAAGGGGTCAGAGGTCAAGGTCGGAGGTCAAAAAAAAGGGGGAGGGGTTTTTTATTTGGGGGGCGGGGTAAAAAAAACGGCGCCGTTGGGTTAAAAGGGGAGGGTTCGGTGAGATTTTGGGGTAAAAAACGGCCGCTTTGGAAAAAGTTGGGTGGAAAGGGCGAGGTGGGAACTCAGTGGGGATGGATTTGGGATGAAATCACCAAATTGGGTGGGAAAGCCAAGGTTGGGTGGAAAAGTCAAGGTTGGACCTCGACGGGGATGGATTTTGGGATAAAAATGTCACCATTGGACCAAAACCCAACGTTTTTGTGAATGGGGATGGATTTTGGGGTAAAAATGCCAAATTGAGTGGAAAAGTCAAAGTTGAGGCTCAATGGGGATGAATTTTGGGATAAAAACACTCAATTTAGTAGAAAAGTCAAGGTTGGGTGGAAAACCCAAGATCTTTGTCAATGGGGATGGATTTTGGGCTAAAAATGCCAAATTGAGTGGAAAAGTCAAAATTGGGTGAAAAAGTAAAGGTTGGACCTCAACGGGGATGAATTTGGGGATAAAAATGCCCAATTGGGTGCTAAAGCAAAGGTTGGGTGGAAAACCCAAGATTTTTGTCAATGGGGATGAATTTTGGGATAAAATCCCCCAATTGAGTCGAAAAGTCAAGGTTGGGTGGAAAAGTCAAGGTTGGACCTCAACAGGGACGGATTTTGGGATAAAAATGCCAAATTGGGTGGTAAAGCAAAGGTTGGGTGGAAAACCCAAGATTTTTGTCAATGGGGATGAATTTTGGGGTAAAAATTCCTCCATTGGACCAAAACCCAACGTTTTTGTTAATGGGGATGGATTTTGGGGTAAAAACGCCCAATTGGACACAAAAGTCAAGGTTGGACCTCAACGGGGATGAATTTGGGATAAAAATTCCTCCATTGGACCAAAACCCAACGTTTTTGTTAATGGGGATGGATTTTGGGGTAAAAACGCCCAATTGGACACAAAAGTCAATGTTGACCTCAATGGGGACAAATTTTGGGATGAAAATGCCAATTTGAGTGGAAAAATCAAGATTGGGTGGAAAAGTCAAGGTTGGACCTCAATAGGGATGAATTTGGGGATAAAAACGCCAAATTGAGTAGAAAAGTCAAGGCTGGGTGGAAAACCCAACATTTTTGTCAGTGGGGATGAATTTTGGGATAAAAACACCCAATTGGGTGGAAAAGTCAAGACAGGACCTCAACGGGGACGGATTTTGGGATAAAAATGCCAAAATGAGTGGAAAAGTCAAGGTTGGGTGGAAAACCTGTGATTTTTGTCAATGGGGATGGATTTTGGGGTAAAAATGCCAAAATGGGTGGAAAAGTCAAGGTTGGGTAGAAAACCCAAGATTTTTGTTAATGGGGGTGAATTTTGGGGTAAAAGCTCCCAATTGGACACAAAAGTCAAGGTTGGACTTCAACAGAGTCAAATTTTGGGATAAAAACGCCCAAATTGAGTGGAAAAGTCAAGGTTGGGTGGAAAAGTCAAGGTTGGACCTCAATGGGGATGGATTTTGGGATAAAAACCCCCAATTGAGTCGAAAAGTCAAGGCTGGGTAGAAAACCCAATATTTTTGTTAATGGGGATGAATTTTGGGGTAAAAGCTCCCAATTGGACACAAAAGTCAAGGTTGGACCTCAATGGGGTCAAATTTTGGGATAAAAATGCCAAAATGAGTGGAAAAGTCAACATTGGGTGGAAAAGTCAAGGTTGGAGCTCAACGGGGACAAATTTTGGGATCAAAATGCCCCCATTGGACCAAAACCAAACATTTTTGTCAATGGGGATGGATTTTGGGGTAAAAGCGCCCAATTGGACACAAAAGTCAAGGTTGGACGTCAGTGGGGACAAATTTTGGGATAAAAACCCCCAATTGTGTCGAAAGTCAACGTTGGGTGGAAAAGTCAAGGTTGAACCTCAACGGGGTCAAATTTTGGGATAAAAATGCCCCGATTGGACCAAAACCCAACATTTTGGTCAATGGGGATGGATTTTGGGGTAAAAACGCCCAATTGGACACAAAAGTCAAGGTTGGACCTCAATGGGGACAAATTTTGGGATAAAAATGCCAAAATTAGTAGAAAAGTCAACATTGGGTGGAAAAGTCAAGGTTGGACCTCAATGGGGATGAATTTTGGGCTAAAAATGCCAAATTGGGTGGAAAAGTCAAAATTGGGTGAAAAAGTAAAGGTTGGACCTCAACGGGGATGAATTTGGGGATAAAAATGCCCAATTGGGTGGAAAAGTCAAGGTTGGGTAGAAAACCCAAGATTTTTGTCAATGGGGATGAATTTTGGGGTAAAAACGCCCAAATTGAGTGGAAAAGTCAACGTTGGGTGAAAAAGTCAAGGTTGGAGCTCAACGGGGACAAATTTTGGGATCAAAATGCCCCCATTGGACCAAAACCCAACATTTTTGTTAATGGGGATGGATTTTGGGGTAAAAACGCCCAATTGGACACAAAAGTCAAGGTTGGACCTCAATGGGGACAAATTTTGGGATAAAAATGCCAAATTTAGTAGAAAAATCAAGGTTGGGTGGAAAACCCAACATTTTTGTTAATGGGGATGAATTTTGGGGTAAAAACGCCAAATTTAGTAGAAAAATCAAGGTTGGGTGTAAAACCCAACATTTTTGTCAACGGGGACGAATTTTGGGATAAAACCCCGCCCAGTTGGGTGGAAAAGTCAATGTTGGGTGGAAAAGTCAAGGTTGGACCTCAACAGGGACGGATTTGGGGATAAAAACACCAAATTGGGTGGAAAACCCAAGATCTTTGTCAATGGGGACAGATTTTGGGATAAAAACCCCCAATTGAGTAGAAAAGTCAACATTGAGGTGAAAAAGTCAAGCTTGGACCTCAACAGGGATGGATTTTGGGATGAAAACCCAACATTTTGGTCAATGGGGATGGATTTTGGGGTAAAAACACCAAATTTAGTAGAAAAATCAAGGCTGGGTGGAAAACCCAACATTTTTGTCAACGAGGACGAATTTTGGGATAAAAACCCGCCCAGTTGGGTGCAAAACTCAACGTTGGTTGGAAAAGTCAAGGTTGGGTGGAAAAGTCAAGATTGGACCTCAACGGGGACGGATTTTGGGATGAAAACCCAACATTTTGGTCAACGGGGATGGATTTTGGGGTCAAAACACCAAATTTAGTAGAAAAGTCAAGGTTGGGTGGAAAACCCAACATTTTCATCAACAGGGACCAATTTTGGGATAAAAACCCGCCCAGTTGGGTGGAAAACTCAATGTTGGGTGGAAAAGTCAAGGTTGGACCTCAACAGGGACGGATTTTGGGATGAAAACCCAACATTTTGGTCAATGGGGATGGACTTTGGGGTTAAAACGCCCAATTGGACACAAAAGTCAATGTTGGACCTCAACGGGGACAAATTTTGGGATAAAATGCCAAAATGAGTGGAAAAGTCAACATTGGGTGGAAAAGTCAAGGTTGGACCTCAATGGGGACAAATTTTGGAATAAAAACACCAAATTGGGTGTAAAAGTCAAGGCTGGGTGGAAAACCCAAGATTTTTGTTAACGGGGATGGATTTTGGGATAAAAACCTGCCCAGTTGGGTGGAAAAGTCAAGATTGGACCTCAACAGGGACGGATTTGGGGATAAAAACACCAAATTTAGTGGAAAAATCAAGGTTGGGTGGAAAACCCAAGATTTTTGTCAATGGGGATGGATTTTGGGGTAAAAACGCCCAATTGGACACAAAAGTCAAGGTTGGATCAAGGTTGGATCTCAATGGGGATGAATTTTGGGATAAAAACGCCAAATTGGGTGGAAAACCCAAGATCTTTGTCAATGGGGATGAATTTTGGGACAAAAACACCAAATTGAGTGGAAAAGTCAAGGTTGGGTGGAAAACCCAAGATTTTCGTCAACGGGGACGAATTTTGGGATAAAACCCACCCAGTTGGGTGCAAAAGTCAAGGCTGGGTGGAAAACCCAACATCTTTGTCAATGGGGATGGATTTTGGGGTAAAAACGCCAAATTGGGTAGAAAAGTCAAGGTTGGGTAGAAAACCCAAGATTTTTGTTAATGGGGATGAATTTTGGGGTAAAAGCTCCCAATTGGACACAAAAGTCAAGGTTGACCCTCAACGGGGACAAATTTTGGGATAAAAATGCCCCCATTGGACCAAAACCCAACGTTTTTGTTAATGGGGATGGATTTTGGGGTAAAAACACCCAATTTGACACAAAAGTCATGGTTGGACCTCAATGGGGACAAATTTTGGGACAAAAACACCAAATTGGGTGGAAAAGTCAAGGCTGGGTGCAAAACCCAACATTTTCACCAACACTGAACCAATTTTGGGACAAAACCCCGCCCAGCTGGGTGGAAAAGTCAAGGTTGGACCTTAAGGGGGACAAATTTTGGGATAAAAATGCCAAAATGGGTGGAAAACCCAACATTTTCGTCAATGGGGACGAATTTTGGGATAAAAACCCACCCAGTTGGGTGGAAAAGTCAAGGTTGGACCTCAATGGGGACAAATTTTGGGATAAAAATGCACAATTGAGTAGAAAACCCAACACTGGTTGAAAACCCCAACATTTCCACCAACACCGAACCAATTCCGGGACCAAACCCCGCCCATTTGAGTGCCAAACCTCCACACCAACACCCCCAACCCGCCCCAAATTCCACCCCAAAAACCCCCCCAGGCCAAACCTCGCACATCGATGAGCACGGCCCGGCTGGGCGGCGAGTGCAGGACGCGGCCGCCGCGGCGCAGCACGGTGTAGGAGCAGCTGTGGAAGCCGGCGTCGCCGGGCCCGGCGAGCACCACGGTGAGGGCGGAGTCGCGGCGCGGCGTGCGGACGTCGCTGGACCAGCCCGAGGTGCCGGTGAAGCGGAAGCCCTGGATGCGGTCGGCGGGCGGCGGCGGCGGCGCGGAGCAGAGGATGGAGACGGCGTCGCCGGGAAGGAAGAGAGGGCGGGGAGGGGTGAGGGAGATGTTGGGGGCGGGAGGGAGGAGGTCTGGGGGGTCTGGGGGGGAAAAAATGGGGGGGAAAATTCAAATTTTTGGCGGGTGGGGATGGGGGAGATGGGGGAGATGGAGGGGATGGAGGAAATGGAGAAGATGGAGGAGATGGAGGAGATGGAGAAGGAGAAGACGGAGATGGAGAAGATGGAAAACATGGAGAAGATGGAGAAGGAGAAGACTGAGAAGATGGAGGAGATGGAGGACATGGAGGAGATGGAGCAAATGGAGATGGAGGAGATGGAGGAGATGGAGAAGATGGAGGAGATGGAGGAGACGGAGAAGGAGAAGACGGAGATGGAGAAGATGGAGAAAAGACGGAGAAGATGGAGGAAATTGAGAAGATGGAGAAGATGGAGAAGATGAAGATGAAGATGAAGAAGAAGAAGAAGGAGAAGATGGAGAAGATTGAAAAGATGAAGAAGATGGAGAAGATGGAGGAAAAATGGAGAAGATTGAGAAGATGGAGAAGACGGAGAAGATGGTGAAGGAGAAGATGGAAAAGATGGGGAAGATGGAGAAGGAGAAGAAGGAGAAGATGGAGAAGACAGAGAAGATTGAAAAGATGGAGAAAATGGAGAAGATGGAGAAGATGCAAAGGATGGAGGAGATGGAGGAGATGGAGAAGATGGAGGAGATGGAGGAGATGGAGGAGATGGAGAAGATGGAGAAGATGGAGGAGATGGAGATGGAGGAGATGGAGGAGATGGAGAAGATGGAGAAGATGGAGAAGATGGAGGAGATGGACAAGAAGGAGAAGATGGAGAAGATTGAAAACATGGAGAAGATGGAGGAGATGGAGATGGAGGAGATGGAGGAGATGGAGGAGGTGGAAAGGATGGAGAAGATTGAAAAGATGGAGAAAATGGAGAAGATGGAGGAGATGGAGAAGATGGAGGAGATGGAGGAGATGAGGAAGATGGAGAAGATGAAGATGGAGAAGATGGAGAAGGAGAAGATGGAGAAGATGGAGAAGATGGAGAGGATGGAGTAGAACCTCCCAGTTTTTACCACAATTCTGACTTTTTTTTCCCAAAATTCTGACTTTTTTTCCTAAAATTCTGATTTTTTTGTTTGTTTGTTTGTTGGAGGACCATGACCCTGATTGGGGTTGGGCTCAGATTTGTCCAAAAATGACCCAAAATTTGATTTTTTGGAGGTGAAAATGGAGAAGATTGAGAAGATGGAGAAGATGGAGGAAATGGAGAAGAATCTCCCTATATTTCCCAAAATCCCTTTTTTTTCCCAAAATCCTGATTTTTTTTTTTGGTTGCAAGAGGTCCTAGCATGGCCCTGCTTGGGTTGGGTTCAGATTGGGTCAAAAAAGCCCAAAAACGGCCCAAAAATTCAATGTATTGGAGGTGGGAATGGAGAAGATGGAGAAGATGGAGAAGATGGAGAAGATGGAGGAGATGGAGGAGATGGAGGAGATGGAGGAGATGGAGGAGATGGAGAAGATGGAGAAGATTGAAAATATGAAGGAGATGGAGGAGATGGAGGAGATGGAGGAAATTGAGAAGATGGAGAAGATGGAGAAGATGAAGATGGAGAAGATTGAGAAGACGGAGAAGATTGAAAACATGGAGAAGATGGAGGAGATGGAGATGGACATGGAGAAGATGGAGAAAAGATGGAGAAGGAGAAGAAGGAGAAGATGGAGAAAATGGGGAAGATGGAGAACATTAAAAACATGGAGAAGATGGAGAAGATGGAAAAGATGGAGAAGAAGAAGATGGAGAAGACGGAGAAAAGATGGAAAAGATGGGGAAGATGGAGGAGATGGAGGAGATGGAGGAGATGGAGGAGATGGAGGAGATGGAGAAAAGACGGAGAAGATGGAGGAAATTGAGAAGATTGAAAAGATGGAGAAGAAGGAGAAGACGGAGAAGGAGAAGAAGGAGAGGATGGAGAAGATGGAGAAGATGGAGAAGATGGAGTAGAACCTCCCAGTTTTTACCACAATTCTGACTTTTTTTTCCCAAAATTCTGACTTTTTTTCCTAAAATTCTGATTTTTTTTTTGTTTGTTTGTTGGAGGACCATGACCATGATTGGGGTTGGGCTCAGATTTGTCCAAAAATGACCCAAAATTTGATTTTTTGGAGGTGAAAATGGAGAAGATGGAGGAGATTAAAAGGATGGAGAAGATGGAGAAGATGGAGGAGATGGAAGAGATGGAGGAGATGGAGAAAAGATGGAGAAAATGGAGGAGATGAAGAAGACGGAGAAGATGGAAAAGATGGAGAAGATGGAGGAGATGGAGAAGATGGAGGAGATGGAGAAGATGAAGACGATGGAGAAGAACCTCCCCACATTTCCTCAAATCCCAATTTTTTTTTTTCCCCAAAATTCTGATTTTTTTGTTTGTTTGTTGGAGGAGGTTCCACCATGACCCTGATTGGGGTTGGGCTCAGATTTGTCCAAAATTGACCCAAAATTTGATTTTTTGGAGGTGAAAATGGAGAAGATGGAGAAGATGGAGGAGATGGAGGAGATGGAAAAGATGGAGAAGAGCCTCCCTATAGTTCCAAAAATCCCAATTTTTTTTTTTCCCAATATCCTGATTTTTTTTTTTTGGTTGGAAGAGGTTCCACCATGATCCTGCTTGGGTTGGGTCAAAAAAGCCCAAAAGTGGCCCAAAAATTCAATGTTTTGGAGGTGGAAATGGAGAAGATGGAGAAGATGGAGAAGATGGAGAAGATGGAAATTATGGAGAAGATGGAGAAGGAGGAGAAGATGAAGATGAAGATGAAGATGAAGATGAAGATGAAGAAGAAGAAGAAGGAGAAGGAGAAGGAGAAGATGGAGAAGATTGAAAAGATGGAGAAGATGGAAAAGATGGAGGAGATGGAGAAGATGGAGAAGATGGAGAAAAGATGGAGAAGATTGAAAACATGGAGGAGATGGAGAAAAGATGGAGAAGATGGAGAATACAGAGAAGATGGATGAGATGGAGATGGATAAGATGGAGGAAATGGAGAAGATGGAGAAGAAGGAGAAGATGAAGATGAAGAAGAAGAAGATGGAGAAGATTAAAAAGATGGAGAAGACGGAGAAGACTGAGAAGAAGGAGAAAAGATGGAAAATATTGGGAAGATGGAGAAGATGGAGGAGATGGAGAAGATGGAGAAGATTAAAAAGATGGAGAAGATGGAAAGGAAGGAGAAGAAGGAGAAGATGGAAAAGAAGGAGGAGATGGAGATGAAGAAGAAGAAGATGGAGGAGATGGAGAAGATGGAATGGATGGAGAAGATGGAGGAAATTGAGAAGATGGAGAAGACCGAGAAGATGGAAAGGATGAAGAAGATGGACAAGAAGGAGAAGATGGAGAAGATGGAGAAGATGGAAAAGACGGAGGAAATGGAGAAGAAGAAGATGGAGAAGGCGGAGGAGATGGAGAAGATTGAAAACATGGAGAAGATGGAGGAGAGAGAGAAGAAGAAGATGGAGAAAAGACGGAGAAGACGGAGAAGATGGAGATGGAGGAGATGGAGATGGAGGAGATGGAGAAGATGAAGATGGAGGAGATGGAGGAGATGGAGAAAAGACGGAGAAGATGGAGGAAATTGAGAAGATGGAGAAGATGGAGAAGAAGGAGATGATGGAGAAGATTAAAAAGATGGAGAAGATGGAGAAGATGGAGAAGGAGAAGAAGGAGAAGATGGAGAAAATGGAGGAGATGGAGGAGATGGAGAAGGAGAAGATGGAGAAGATTGAAAACATGGAAAAGATGGAGGAGATGGAGGAAATTGAGAAGATGGAGAAGACCGAGAAGATGGAAAGGATGGAGAACATGGACAAGAAGGAGAAGATGGAGAAGATGGAGGAAATGGAGAAGAAGGAGAAGATGGAGAAGGTGGAGAAGGTGGAGGAGATGGAGGAGATGGAGGAGATGGAGGAGAAGAAGATGGAGGAGATGGAGATGGAGAAGAAGGAGAAGATTGAAAACATGGAGAAGATGGAGGAGATGGAGAAGAATGGAGAAGACGGAGGAAATGGAGAAGATGGAGAACATTAAAAACATGGAGAAGATGGAGAAGATGGGAAAGATTTAAAAGATGGAGGAGATGGAGAAGGAGAAGAAGGAGAAAAGATGGAAAAGATGGAAAAGAATGGAGAAAATTGAGAAGATGGAGAAGATGGTGAAGATGAAGATTGAAAGCATCGAGGAGATGGAGAAGGAGAAGAAGGAGAAGATGGAAGAGATGGAGGAGATGGAGGAGATGGAGGAGATGGAGATGGAGAAGATGGAGAAGATTGAAAACATGGAGGAGATGGAGAAGATGGAGAAGATGGAGGAGATGGAGGAGATGGAGATGGAGAAGACGGAGGAGATGGAGGACATGGAGGAGATGGAGGAGATGGAGATGGAGGAGATGGAGAAGATGGAGAAGACCGAGAAGATGGAAAGGATGAAGAAGATGGACAAGAAGGAGAAGATGGAGATGGAGGAGATGGAGGAGATGGAGATGGAGGAGATGGAGAAGAACCTCCCTATAGTTCCCAAAATCCCAATTTCTTTTTTTTTTCCCAAAATCCTGATTTTTTTTTTTTTGCTTGGAAGAGGTCCCAGCATGGCCCTGCTTGGGTTGGACTTGAGTTGGCCCCAAAAGACCCAAAAATGACCCAAAAATGACCCAAAAATTTGAATTTTTTTGAGGTGGAAATGGAGGAGATGGAGAAGAACCTCCCCAGATTTCCTCAAATCCCAAATTTTGATTTTTTTCCCAAAATTCTGATTTTTGTGTTTGTTTGTTGGAGGAGGTTCCACCATGACCCTGCTTGGGGTTGGGCTCAGATTTCTCCAAAAAAGCCCAAAAATGACCCAAAAATTCCATTTTTTTGAGGTGAAAATGAAGAAAATTCAGAGAAATGTCCCAAATTTTTCCCAAAATCCCAATTTTTTGACAAAATTCCAATTTTTTGTTGCTTGGAAGAGGCTCCACCATGGCCCTGCTTGGGTTGGGTCAAAAAAGGCCAAAAATGACCCAAAAATTCCAATTTTTGGAGGTGAAAATGAAGAAAATTGAGAGAAATTTCCCCAAATTTTCCCAAAATTCTGATTTTTTTCCCCAAAATTCTGATTTTTCTGGTAGGATTTGGTTCCACCATGGCCCAGCTTGGATTGGGTCAAAAAAGGCCAAAATTGGTCCAAAAATTTGAATTTTTTGGAGGTGAAAATGAAGAAAATTGAGAAAAATTTCCCAAATTTTTCCCAAAATTCTGATTTTTTTCCCCAAAATTCTGATTTTTTCCCCAAAATTCTGATTTTTCTGGTAGGATTTGGTTCCACCATGGCCCTGCTTGGGTTGGGCTCAGATTTGTCCAAAAAATCCCAAAAATGACCCAAAAATTTGAATTTTTTGACGCAAAAATGAAGAAAATTGAGAGAAATTTCCCAAAATTTTCCCAAAATTTTGATTTTTTTTCCCAAAATTCTGATTATTTTTGGATGGAAGAGGCTCCACCATGACCCTGCTTAGATTGGATCAAAAAAGGCCAAAATTGGTGCAAAAATTTGAATTTTTTGGAGGTGAAAATGAAGAAAATTGAGAAAAATGTCCCAAAATTTTCCCAAAATTCTGATTTTTTTTCCCAAAATTCTGATTTTTCTGGTAGGATTTGGTTGCACCATGACCCTGCTTGGGTTGGGTCAAAAAAAGCCAAAATTGGTCCAAAAATTTGAATTTTTTGGAGGTGAAAATGAAGAAAATTGAGAGAAATTTCCCAAATTTTCCCAAAATTCTGATTTTTTTCCCAAAATTTTGATTTTTTTCCCCAAAATTCTGACATTTTCTGGTAGGATTTGGTTCCACCACGGCCCTGCTTGGGTTGGGCTCAGATTTGTCCAAAAAAGGCCAAAAATGACCCAAAAATTTGAATTTTTTGACGCAAAAATGAAGAAAATTGAGAGAAATTTCCCAAAATTTTGATTTTTTTCCCCAAAATTCTGATTTTTTTTGGATGGAAGAGGCTCCACCATGACCCAGCTTGGATTGGGTCCAAAAAGGCCAAAATTGGTCCAAAAATTTGAATTTTTTGGAGGTGAAAATGAAGAAAATTGAGAGAATTGTCCCAAATTTTTCCCAAAATTCTGATTTTTTTCCCCAAAATTCTGATTTTTCTGGTAGGATTTGGTTCCACCATGGCCCTGCTTGGGTTGGGCTCAGATTTGTCCAAAAAAGCCCAAAAATGACCCAAAAATTTGAATTTTTTGATGCAAAAATGAAGAAAATTGAGAGAAATTTCCCAAATTTGCTCAAAATTTTGATTTTTTCCCCCAAAATTCTGATTTTTTTCTGGTAGGATTTGGTTCCACCATGGCCCTGCTTGGATTTGTCCAAAAAAGCCCAAAAATGACCCAAAAATTTGAATTTTTTTGAGGTGAAAATGAAGAAAATTGAGAGAAATTTCCCAAATTTTTCCCAAAATTTTGATTTTTTTCCCAAAATTTTGATTTTTTTCCCCAAAATTCTGATTTTTTTCTGGTAGGATTTGGTTCCACCATGACCCTGCTTGGGTTGGGTCAAAAAAGGCCAAAATTGGTGCAAAAATTTGAATTTTCTGGAGGTGAAAATGAAGAAAATTGAGAAAAATTTCCCAAAATTTTCCCAAAATTTGGATTTTTTTCCCCAAAATTTGGATTTTTTTCCCAAAATTCTGATTATTTTTGGATGGAAGAGGCTCCACCATGACCCTGCTTGGGTTGGGTCAAAAAAGGCCAAAAATGACCCAAAAATTTGAATTTTTTTGAGGTGAAAATGGAGAAAATTGAGAAAAATTTCCCAAAAATTTTCCCAAAATTTTGATTTTTTTCCCCAAAATTCTGATTATTTTTGGATGGAAGAGGTTCCACCATGACCCTGCTTGGGTTGGGCTCAGATTTGTCCAAAAAATCCCAAAAATGACCCAAAAATTTGAATTTTTTGAGGTGAAAATGAAGAAAATTGAGAGAAATGTCCCAAAATTTTCCCAAAATTCTGATTTTTTCCCCAAAATTCTGACATTTTCTGGTAGGATTTGGTTCCACCATGACCCTGCTTGGGTTGGGCTCAGATTTGTCCAAAAAAGCCCAAAAATGACCCAAAAATTTGAATTTTTTGACACAAAAATGAAGAAAATTGAGAAAAATTTCCCAAATTTTTCCCAAAATTTTGATTTTTTTCCCAAAATTTTGAATTTTTTCCCCAAAATTCTGATTATTTTTAGTTGGAAGAGGCTCCACCATGGTCCTGCTTGGATTGGGTCAAAAAAGGCCAAAATTGGTCCAAAAATTTGAATTTTTTGAGGTGAAAATGAAGAAAATTGAGAGAAATTTCCCAAAATTTTCCCAAAATTCTGATTTTTTTCCCCAAAATTCTGATTTTTCTGGTAGGATTTGGTTCCACCATGAGCCTGCTTGGATTGGGTCAAAAAAGGCCAAAAATGACCCAAAAATTTGAATTTTTTGACGCAAAAATGAAGAAAATTGAGAGAAATGTCCCCAAATTTTTCCCAAAATTTTGATTTTTTTCCCCAAAATTCTGATTTTTCTGGTAGGATTTGGCTCCACCATGGCCCTGCTTGGGTTGGGTCAGAAAAGGCCAAAATTGGTGCAAAAATTTGAATTTTTTGGAGGTGAAAATGGAGAAAATTGAGAAAAATTTCCCAAATTTTCCCAAAATTCTGATTTTTTTCCCCAAAATTCTGACATTTTCTGGTAGGATTTGGTTCCACCATGACCCTGCTTGGGTTGGGTTCAGATTTGTCTAAAAAAAGCCCAAAAATGACCCAAAAATTTGAATTTTTTGGAGGTGAAAATGAAGAAAATTGAGAGAAATGTCCCCAAATTTTTCCCAAAATTTTGATTTTTTTCCCAAAATTTTCATTTTTTCCCCAAAATTCTGATTATTTTTGGATGGAAGAAGCTCCACCATGGCCCTGCTTGGATTGGGTCAAAAAAGGCCAAAATTGGTCCAAAAATTGGAATTTTTTGGAGGTGAAAATGAAGAAAATTGAGAAAAATGTCCCAAAATTTTCACAAAATTTTGATTTTTTTCCCCAAAATTCTGACATTTTCTGGTAGGATTTGGTTCCACCATGGCCCTGCTTGGATTGGGTTCAGATTTGTCCAAAAAAGCCCAAAAATGACCCAAAAATTCCAATTTTTTGACGCAAAAATGAAGAAAATTGAGAGAAATTCCCAAATTTTTCCCAAAATTTTGATTTTTTTCCCCAAAATTCTGATTATTTTTGGATGGAAGAGGCTCCACCATGGCCCTGCTTAGATTGGGTCAAAAAAGGCCAAAATTGGTCCAAAAATTGGAATTTTTTGGAGTTGAAAATGAAGAAAATTGAGAAAAATGCCCCAAATTTTTCCCAAAATTCTGATTTTTTTCCCAAAATTTTGATTTTTTTCCCCAAAATTCTGATTTTTCTGGTAGGATTTGGTTCCACCATGGCCCTACTTGAGTTGGGCTCAGATTTGCCCAAAAAAGCCCAAAAATGACCCAAAAATTTGAATTTTTTGGAGGTGAAAATGAAGAAAATTGAGAGAAATTTCCCAAAATTCTGATTTTTTTCCCCAAAATTCAGATCATTTTTGGATGGAAGAGGTTCCACCATGGCCCTGCTTGGATTGGGTCAAAAAAGGCCAAAAATGACCCAAAAATTCCAATTTTTTCAAGGTGAAAATGAAGAAAATTGTGAAAAATGTCCCCAAATTTTTCCCAAAATTTGGATTTTTTTTCCCAAAATTCTGATTTTTTTCCCCAAAATTCTGATTATTTTTGGATGGAAGAGGCTCCACCATGACCCTGCTTGGGTTGGGTCAAAAAAGGCCAAAAATGATCCAAAAATTTGAATTTTTTGACGCAAAAATGAAGAAAATTGAGAGAAATTTCCCAAATTTGCCCAAAATTTTGATTTTTTTGGGGAATTTTTTGTTACCTGAGGGCGACACCAGCGGGAAAAGGATGGGGAGAGAGGCTGGAAAAAAAAGGAAAATTGGTTAAAAAATGGGAAAATTGGGAAAAAATGGGAAAATTTGGGAAATTTGGGGAAAAAAAATGGGAAATTTGGGGAAAAATTGGGAAAAAAAGGGAGGAAAATTGGGAATAAAAAGGAAATTTAAAATTATTTGTTAATTATTAATGAAAGGAATTAAAAATTAAAATAAATTTTTAATTATTAATGAAAGGAAAAAAAATTAAAATGAATTTTTAATTATTAATGAAAGGAATTAAAAATTAAAATAAAATTTTTCATTATTAATGGAAGGAATTAAAAATTAAAATAAATTTTTTAATTATTAATGAAAGGAATGAAAAAATTAAAATAATTAAAAATAAAAATGGAATTAAAATATTAAAAATATTTTAAAATATTAAAAGTTTTTAAAAAGGAGAAGGAAAAATATTAAAGTATTTCAATTATTTGAAATATTTATTATTTATAATAAAAATAAAATAAAAATAAAAATAAAAATAAAAATAAAAATAAAAATAAAAATAAAAATAAAAATAAAAATAATAAAAATAATTAAAAAATAAAAATAAAAATAAAAATAAAAATAATAAAAATAAAAATAATAAAAATAAAAATTAAAATAAAAATAAAAATAAAAACAAAAATAAAAATAATAAAAATAATAAAATAAAAATAATAAAAAATAATAAAAATAATAAAAATAATAAAAATAAAAATAAAAATAAATTTAATAATAAAAATAATAAAAATAATAAAAATAAAAATAAAAATAAAAATAATAAAAATAATAAAATAAAAATAAAAATAAAAAACAATAAAAATAAAAATAAAAATAATAAAAATAATAAAAATAAAAATAAAAATAAAAATAAAAATAAAAATAAAAATTAATAAAAATAATAAAATAAAAATAAAAATTAAAAAAAATAAAATAAAAATAAAAATAAAAATAAACATAAAAAAATAAAAATAATAATAATAATAAAAATAAAATAAAAATTAAAATTAAAATTAAAATAAAAATAATAAAAATAATAAAAATAATAAAAATAATAAAAATAAAAATAAAAATAAAAATAATAAAAATAAAAATAAAAATAAAAATAAAAATAAAAATAAAAATAAAAAATAAAAATAAAAATAAATAAAAATAATAAAATAAAAATAAAAAATAAAAATAAAAATAAAAATAAAAATAAAAATAAAAATAAAAATAATAAAAATAAAAATAAAAATAAAATTAAAATAAAAATAAAAATAATAAAAATAATAAAATAAAAATAAAAATAAACATAAAAATAAAATAAAAATAATAAAAATAATAAAAATAAAATAAAAAATAAAAATAATAAAAATAATAAAAAAATAAAAATAAAATAAAAATAAAAATAAAAATAAAAATAAAAATAATAATAGTAATAATAATAATAATAACAATAATAATAATAATAATTTAAAATAATTTATTATTAATTAATAATTAGGGGCAGAAATAATGAAAAGGAAAATTAAAAGGAAATGAAAAATAATTTTGAAATAAAAATTAAATTAAAATTTAAATTTTGCAAAGGGAATAAAAAAAAAATGAAACATTTAAACATTAAAATAAAAGGAAAAAGAAAAGTTGGGATAGAAAGGAAATTAAAATTCTTTATTAATTATTAATGAGGGGGAAATGAAAGGAAATGGAAAAGAAAAGAAATTTAAAAATAGGAAGGAAATTAAAAGTTCTTTTTATAAGAAAATTAAAATTAAAAATTAAAAATTAAAATTAAAAATTAAAAATTAAAAATAAAATTAAAAAATTAAAATTAAAAATCAAAATTAAAAATTAAAATTAAAATTAAAATTAAAAATTAAAATTAAAATTAAGAATAAAAATTAAAAAAAATTAAAAATTAAAATTAAAAATTAAAATTAAGAATAAAAATTAAAAATCAAAATAAAAAATAAAAATTAAAAATTAAAATTAAAAATTAAAATTAAGAATAAAAATTAAAAATAAAATTAAAATTAAAATTAAAAATCAAAATTAAAAATAAAAATTACAAAATTAAAATTAAAATTAAAAATTAAAATTAAAAATCAAAATTAAAAATAAAAATTAAAAATAAAAATTAAAAATTAAAAATAAAAATTAAAAATTAAAAATTAAGAATAAGAATTAAAAATTAAAATTAAAAATTAAAAATTAAAATTAAAAATTAAAATTAAAAATTAAAATTAAAAATTAAAAATTAAAATTAAAATTAAAATTAAAAATCAAAATTAAAAATAAAAATTAAAAATTAAAATTAAGAATAAAAATTAAAATTAAAATTAAAAATAAAAGGAAAAGGGAAAATTGGGATGGAAAGAAAATTTAAAATTATTTTTAATTAATAATTAGAGGAACTGAATGGGAAATTGAAATGGAATTAAAATTAATTTTAAAATAAAAAAGGAAATTAAAAATTTTTTACATGAAATTAAAAAATTAAATTGAAACATTTTAAAATTAAGGGGAAAAGGAAAAATTGGGATAGAAGGGAAATAATTTTTTTATATTAAATTATAATAATTAAAAATAATTTAAATAATAAAAATATTTTTATTATTTAAAATTTTTTAAAAAATTAATAATTAGGGGCAAAATTAAAGAATAAAAGAAAATTAAAAAACGAAAAATGGAAATAATTTGAATTTAAAAGGAAACAAAAAGGGAATATTTTGAGAGGAAATTAAAATAAAAGAAATTAAAATTAAAATTAAAATGAAAATGAAAATTGAAAATTTGGGGAAAAAAAGGAAATTAAAATTATTTATGAATTAATAATTAGGGGTAAATGAAATCAAGGAAAATAGGAAGAAAATTGAAAATAAAAATAATTTTGGAATAAAAAATGATCATTTTTTAAATGGAAATAAAAAAGAAAAGGAAAATCATTAAAAATTTGGAATATAAAGGAAATTAAAAATAATTTAAAATAAAAATGAGGGGGAAATGAAAGGAAAATGGAGAGAAAATTGGAAATAAAAATAATTTTAAAATAATTTTAAAATTTAAAATATTGAAAAAAAAATTTTATTTTAAAAATTTTTATTTGGAAAAGAAAATTAAAAATAGAAGAAAAAATTAAAATTAAAATTAAAATTAAAATTAAAATTAAAATTAAAAGGGGAAATTTGGGCTGGAAAGGAAATTAATGATGATTTTTAATTAATAATTAGGGGGAATTAATGAAAATTAATAATTCCAATTATTGGGAAATTAAAGGGAATAAAAAGAGATGGGAAAAAATTGGGAAAAATGGGGAAAAAATGGGAAAAAAAGGGGGAAAAAAATGGGAAAATTTGGGAAAAAATGGGAAAAAAAGGGGGGAAAATGGGGAAAAAATGGGGAAAAATGGGGAAAATGGGGAAAATTGGGAAAAATGGGAAAAATGGGAAAAAATGGGAAAAAATGGGGAAAAATTGGGGAAAATGGGAAAAATTGGGAAAATGGGGAAAATGGGGAAAATTTGGGAAAAAATGGGAAAATTGGGGAAAATTTGGGGAAAATTTGGGGAAAATTGGGGAAAATTGGGAAAAATGGGGAAAATTGGGAAAAAATTGGGGAAAAATGGGGAAAAATTGGGAAAGATGGGGAAAATTGGGGAAAATGGGGAAAAATGGGGAAAAATGGGGAAAATGGGGAAAATTGGGAAAATGGGGAAAAATTGGGAATAATTGGGAAAAATGGGGGAAAATGGGGAAAAAATGGGAAAAATGGGGAAAAATTGGGAAAAATTGGGGGAAAATGGGAAAAAATTGGGAAAAATGGGGAAAAATGGGGAAAATTTGGGGAAAATTTGGGGGAAAATTGGGGAAAATTGGGGAAAAATGGGGAAAAATGGGGAAAAATGGGGAAAATTGGGGGGAAAAATTGGGAAAAATGGGGGAAATTGGGGAAAAATTGGGAAAATGGGAAAAATGGGGAAAATTGGGGAAAAACTGGGGAAAAATTGGGGAAAATGGGAAAAATGGGGAAATTTGGGGAAAATTTGGGGAAAATTTGGGGAAAATTTGGGGAAAATTTGGGGAAATGGGGAAAAAATGGGAAAAATGGGAAAAAAATGGGGAAAATGGGGAAAATGGGAAAAAATGGTGAAAATGGGGGAAAATGGGGAAAAATGGGGAAAAATGGGGAAAATGGGGAAAAATTGGGAAAAATTGGGGAAAAATGGGGAAAATTTGGGGAAAATTTGGGGAAAATGGGGAAAAATGGGGAAAATTGGGGAAAATGGGGAAAATTTGGGGAAAATGGGGGAAAATGGGGAAAAATGGGGAAAAATGGGGAAAAAAAGGGGGAAAAATGGGAAAAAATGGGAAAAAAATGGGAAAAATTGGGGAAAAATGGGGAAAAAATGGGGAAAATGGGGGGAAAATGGGGAAAAAATTGGGGAAAAATGGGGGAAAAATGGGGAAAAATGGGGAAAAATGGGGAAAATGGGGAAAAATTGGGGAAAATGGGGAAAATGGGAGAAAATGGGGGAAAAATGGGGGAAAATGGGGAAAAATGGGGGGAAATGGGGAAAAAATGGGGAAAAAATTGGGAAAAAGGGGAAAAATTGGGGAAAAATGGGGGAAAATTGGAAAAAATGGGGGAAAAAATGGGAAAAATGGGGAAAAATGGGAAAAAACGGGGAAAAAATGGGGGGAAAATGGGGGAAAATGGGGAAAATTGGGGAAAATGGGGGAAAATGGGGAAAAATTTGGGAAAAATTGGGAAAAAATGGAAAAAATGGGGGAAAATGGGGAAAAATTGGGAAAAATTGGGGTAAATGGGAAAAAATGGGGAAAAATTGGGAAAAAATGGGGGAAAATGGGGAAAAAATGGGGAAAAATTGGGAAAAAATGGGGGAAAATGGGGAAAAAATGGGGAAAAATTGGGGAAAAATGGGGAAAAATGGGGGAAAATGGGGAAAATGGGGAAAAATGGGAAAATTTGGGGAAAATTTGGGGAAAATTTGGGGGAAAAT